TGTGTGTGTGTGTGTGTGTCAGTGCGCGTATGGCAACCGTGAGCTACCGGGGACGGGGTTACATACCAGCTAAGGCTGTGATGCCAGCGCCCATATGGCTGGCACGTCACCGGCAAGAGCCATCACATGAGAGCCCGGTGATTGACATGCGCCCGCATTCGGAGAGATTTGCCCTCCCGGGGGAAGAGAGAGACACACAGAGAGAAAGAAGGAAGGGAGCGAGGAGGAGGAGGAGGAGGAGGAGGAGGGCTCCGCCATCTGTCACCGCGGCAGCGCTCACACAGCCAGAAAAAAGCAGGAAAAACACAGAAAATAAAATGGAGGAACAACAAAACTCATCAGCGTTGACCTGTGCTGCTGCCTCCAGACATGTAGGACACTTTTTWAAAAAACTCAAATGTCTCATTCACCTGCCAACCGCGCAAACCTAACCTAGTAAATACATATTAAAGGTTCTCATTAAAATATATATAAAGTAAGAAATTTAATCCACATTTTTTTTCTAATTTAATTTAAATGTAACCAAAATTGGTTGCTGCCCYGGGTGTTTGTTTACAGCAGAGGTGACAGAAATGAGGTCAACACTGTTGATGTTCATGGATGAAGTCATCCAGGAATTTTATTGTACTTTTTTAAGCATTTATGCTTAAATTCTGCATAAAAAAGTGCTTTGTTTACACTGAGTGCGTACCTGTATTTCAGCACCTTCCTTGTTTGGGTTGATGCTATATTTATTAACTTTTAAAATAAACAAAAATAATGTGGTCACCTGGTAAATAAATAACAGCTTCTAAGCGAGGAATATGGGGCGCCAAGTGTAAAATAAAATGTTTGTTGTTATTACACTTAGACCTATCATTTTTAAACGCCAAATTTAAATGTTAAATCCTAAATCTAAATGTGTAAATCTTAAATGTTGTAATTAAATGTTGAAGTTCATATTCAAGTATTTCAGAATGGAACACAGCTTTTTGTCTGCAGCTCAGGACATGAGACAAAAACAACCGCTACTGCTAATGCCTCCCTACAAMACATGGAAGTTGCAGTTGCAGCGGCTGTGCTAAAACACGCTGTGGCACAGGTCCCATCCTACTGTTTCTAATGAACACATGTTGTGTTTAGATTTTAAAGGCCATGTTCAGCAGCGTTAGAAGCGACAGCAAYGGTTAGCATTAGCTAACCAGGATGATGTCTTCATGATGGCGTTAGCAGTGTTAACAGCTTTAGCAGCATTAGCAGTGTCAGCAGAATTAGCAGTGTTATCAGTGTTAGTAGTGTTAGCAGAATTAGCAGTGTCAGCAGCATTAACTGCATTGGCAGTGTTAGCATCATCAGTAGAATTAGCAGCATTAGTAGTGTTAGCAGCATCAACAGTAGTAGCAGCATTAGCATCATCATCATAATTAGTGGCATTAGCAGTGTTAGCAGCATTGGTAGCTTTAACAGCATCAGCAGAATTAGCAGCTTTAGCAACATTAGCATTGTTAGCAGCATCAGCACAATTAGCAGTGTTAGTAGAGTTAGCAGAATTAGCAGTGTCAGCAGCATTAACATCATCAGCAGAATTAGCAGTGTTAGTAGAGTTAGCAGAATTAGCAGTGTCAGCAGCATTAACATCATCAGCAGAATTAGCAGTGTTAGTAGTGTTAGCATCATTAACGTTGTTAGCAGCATTAGCATCATCAGCATAATTAGCGGCATTAGCCGTGTTAGCAGCATTAGCAT